GACTGAGACAGTGCACTGTGGTGTCTGTGACAGCAGCACTGGGTGACTGAGACAGTGCACTGTGGTGTCTCTGTGACAGCAGCACTGAGCGACTGAGACAGAGCACAGTGGTATCGTGTTCAAAGGTACCCAAATTAGGAGCTCAATATATCTTTTTGGCCAATGTGATACAATTCATACCAAAGTGCACTCTGGGATTCTGTATCACCAAAACAAGCACTATCTCCATGAAACAAATAAAACAAAACTGAGGCAGCACACTGTTGGAACTGGAAAGTGGGAACATCTCATTGCTTGGGATCTCTCTTTCCATGTGTCACCAAATGCCTGGGCACAGAATACTAACCAAACGAAAGATAATTTTAAAAGCAAGAACTGGAAATTCAAATAGAACTTGTACAAAAAAATAAAACTAAATAAATGAATCATGCCTGGTTAATAACAACAGTAATGTTGGCCTTCAGAGTAGGAATGTACCCTGGTGGTTTAAATTTGTCTTTTAATCCTTCTTTCCCCTCCTTCTTCTCCTCCCAACATTCCTTTTCCTTCCCCACATCCCTTACAGCTCCTGCTCACAGTGGTCCCAAGCACAGAGAAGCCCACTCGCCCTGCGTCATCCTCATAGCACTGCAGAGTTTGGGCCCTAGTGCACCCACTGTGCCCATCCATCTCACCAAATCCCACTGAAGACCCCCCCTGAGAATACAGAATCCAGGTTAGGGGACAGATTGGCAAACTGCCTGCACTCTTCCAGCAGAGGAAATGTTTACTGGAGGAGAAAACCACACCGTAAACATTGCAGTGTCTCCGCCTGACTCTAAAGACATGTCTCCCAGCTCGCAATTAATCCACATGTTGCAATCGTCCCTGAAGCAGACCATGGAGGAGCCCAGTAACCGAAACCGACTCATTTCCAGGAAAAAGGAGGTGATGTCTTTTAGCAAACAGCAGCAGGGGGTGACTGCTAAGGTCAGTCAGAAGGGATGGAGGAATGGACCCACAGAACACACTGACATTATGGGGGCACAGTTGTCTAAGGGATGGTGTAGAAAGACTCTAAAAGAGGACGTTTTCCCTAAAGTCAGCATGAGCTGTGATGCCAGGCTGGGCAGACAGACCTCAGCCCAGAAGCCTCAGCTAGTCTCACTGCCTGTCCACCTTTGCCAAGCCCCTGCGCCTCCCTTCCCAGGCTTCACCCCAATACCTGCTAGCCACCTTCCCTTCGACTGACTGGTCATGGGGATAGAGTAAGGGCCTAATCAGAGCCAGAGTAGGGGACAGTGACTCACTGAGCCAGACAGAGGGACCACAGGGGCCCTTAATGGAGGGGGGAATGGAAGGGAGCCCCTGGATTAAGAAATGGTGGGAAAGCAGGCTAAACACGGGGAAGGCTGGCAGAAAGCTCCTGAGACGGGGAGGTTGGAGAAGGCGGCCGAGGTTGGAGAAGGCGCTGGGGCTTGTCCCGGGGCGGGGTGCAGAGAGGAAGGAAAGAGGGCGGGAGGTGTCTGGCCAGTGAGCACACCCGGCGCCTGCGGGGCAACCCGACGCAGCTGTGAGGCAGGGCCCAAGGCTGGGCTCCTGCCACCTTCCCGGGGGACAGAGGCGCTGCCGGCTCAGCACCCAGGGCCCCCAGACCGTAACGGGAGCTGCCCCCGAGGCTCGGACCAGCAGGCAGGGAGGGGAGGGCGCACAACTTGGGGAGTAGGCTCGCAGCAGGTGGACGTCACCCGCCAACCGAGTGTCCCCTCGGCCTCCCGGGAAGCTCCTCTGGAAGAGGCTGGTCTGCAGTCCCGAGTCCCGTCACAGCCCTTGACCCCGGCAGAGTGGGGGTGACCCGCCGTGGCCCCGCACAGTCACCAGGAGGGGCGCCCGGAGCACGGGCAGCGCGCAGCCTGGGGGTCGGGAGGAGTGGCCAGCCGGGATCAAGCAGCGGCCTGCGGAGAGGAGACCTGGGCACCGGGCGGCGCACCCTCCCCGGTGGGCTCTCCAAGCCCCGCGCCGGGGTCCCCCTGGGCCCGGGGCTCCGGCCCACGGCCGCCTTACCTGCCCCGCGCCGCGGAGACCGTCCCGGGGGGCTCCCAGCAGCGCGCACAGCTCCAGCAGCCCCGAGGGCAGCACCAGGTGCGGCGGCGCGGACTCCGCCATGCTGCCCGGCGCCCGCTCCTCGGCCGAGCGCTGCGCGTCCGGCGGCTCCTCCGGGAAGGGGGGGCGGGGCCTGCTGGGGACAGGGCCTGCTGG